TTTTTTTTTTGTGTTCAGACATGGTTAGACAGTGGTCTTTTTGTTTTGATTTTTCATGGTTTCTTAGTGGGCTAGTCTTGTGCTGGTTTCTGTGAAATTGTTTATGTTAACAGAAAACCACAATAAAGCTGTGTCAGGCTACTTCTTAGCTTTTGCAAGGCCTAGGTTGTAGTCTAGACCATTGCTATCAGTTATGGGCTGCTTTTCCTTTCCAGTAGCTAACGAAAAGCTTTCCAGTAGCATCATACAAAAGAGGTAGCTGCTGTCTTTGAGTATTTTACTCATTCATTTATTTTAGACATCCAAATTCTCTAATAGCATCCTGTTCTGATGTTTATCAAGAACTTTATCATGGGACTGGGGGTGTGGCTCAAGGGGTAGAGCTCCTGCTTTGCAAGCACTAAGCCCAGAGTTCAAACCCCAGTCCCACCAAAAAAAAAAAGAAAAAAAAAAAAACCAGAAAGGATATTTTGAATTTATTATTTTGTCTATACTGTCATGTTCTACTTTCTTTGGCACCATATTCCATGTTCCTAATTCTAAACTGTGCTTTGCCTTTCATGATGCTTATATGTAATTCATATGGACTAAATTTGTACATTCCAATATCCTACCTCCTATTTCCCAGACCAAAGAACAAAACCAACTCCATTAGTGCCATCTCTACAATTTTGCCTCCTGGAGCACAGAGTGGAGTGGAAAAGTGTAAGGAAGGGATCTGAAGGGGGCAGACCCCTTAATTGTCCAAATATATAGTGTAAATAGGTATCCAAAGTCATGGTGGGGAGGATGTCACTGGGTCTCTCATGGCATGACAATAGTTAGCCCCTCACAAAACTCTTGCTATGCAGAATGCTTTGGCAAGAGCAAACAGGGCAGATAGATGACTTTCACAAGGGTAGTAGGCCTGACATGAAGTCTATAAAAGGCATGCTGTCCTTTTATACCCTCACCAGCAGCAGGGAACTCACACCCACTCTTCTTTGCTTCAGCCCATCCACTAGAACTAGCTGATGCTTAATCTAAACACAAGGAAGGCTAGGAAATGAAGAAGAGTAGGTGTAATATTTCTAACATGGAGCCTGAAAAACAAGAAAGAAAATAGCATGGAGCCTGTCAGTTAACTGGTTCTCTTGAGATTTTCAGGCACAAAAATGACACAAAAAGTCTGTATCATTAGCTAGAACACATAACTAGCTCCTCCTGCCAGAATTTTCTCAATTTGTTTTTGCTAAGATAATCTGTGCTTAGAATTTTATGAGTAGTTTTGTGATCGTGGAGGAAAAGAGCGCTGGATTTTCTCTGGTTTCCTATCTGCCAGATAAGAATTTATTGCCTGTGAGCTTCAAATTCAGAGTTCACTACCTGCTCTAGCTAATAGATGGCATTCTTTCTCATGTTTCTCCATCCCAGTGATCTTGATGTTGAGTTCTCTCAGAAGAGGGCACTGGAGGGACATTGAGGAAGAGCATCTTTTCATGTGGACTGGAGTAAGGCAGGCAACTGGCCTGCAGGCAGGTTTCATGCTAGGAAAGCAGCTTAGTGACAGAAAGGGCACAGCTGGCAAGGCCCAGAACATGTATTACAGAAAGTTTGCTGACACTTGTTCAAATCGATTTGAAGAAACAAAAATAAAATATAGGAAGTTGATCAAACCATGAAGCATCTATTTAAATAACTGATGTTGTTCTGTTTTTCTTCATAGATGCGTTTTCTCATGCTATTCTTTACTTTTTCATGTTGACCCTCAAGTTTTTTTAAATTTTAAAAGAACACATATTTTATGAAAAAACTCTTTAACTATGGATTTAAAAATGAACTAAATGCCTACTTGTATATAGATGTTAAAATACATCCACCCCTGGCCCAGGATATTTTGCAGTTAAGAACAGATTAGGAGCAGATGCTGTGTTTGTACATGGCCTGTTTTACTTCTCTTATCACTCAAGTGAAGGTATGGTTTTCTCTGCAGTATAATATGCTAAACATAGTGCTTTTCATGCTTAAAGTTTGACCTTCACAAAAATAATGTTTTATTATTTTTTTACTGTGGTTGGTTTATTTCATAAAGTCTGACACGGTTTCACATTTGTACCTGTGTTTTTCCTTTCTCTTTGCTTGAGACTGGCTACCCTTTTTTATCTCACTCATTTTATTGGATATCAAGATTGTTTGGTGCAGTAATTCTGTTTGTGCTTGAACTCAAGTTTTTTTGAGATTCTATGGATATAAACACTTAATATGTTCTTTCATAAAATGGTTATGAAAATCATTTAGTTATTTTGGCATTTCTTACAGCATTTTTAGAGCATTTTCTCCTGTATATATTCATTGCCTGCAAATTAGCGTAAATCTTACTGAGTTCACTGTGGTAAAGTACAGTGGAAAACAAATATTTTTAAGCTTAAAATGCCTAGTGAGTATAATTACTCTGTGTGACTAGGGTAACCTGTTCTTTATATACTTCTGATATTTAAAAAAAGAAACCAGTTTTCTCTATTTGAAGCATTGTTAGGCCAATAGTATATAATTAATATTTTTAAATTTACAGAGAAAACATTTCCATTTAAAAAAATTTCTTTGAATGTCTTAATTGGTTGGTATGTGGCATATATAGCTACCAGATCTTTTTTCCAAATTATTTAGAAAATTAGCATTGATAAAATTACTCCTCTGGGATAGAATCATTTATTCCCCAGAATTTCCCTAAGATCCCCTTAGGGATCGTATCTGATTATGCTCGTGTATTCCCAGCACCTGGGTCACAGAAGGCTCTCAATTATCTGTAGAATAAACTTTATACTGATTCTAATGCCCACTCCCCGCACCCTCAATCCTCAAGTACCTATTCACCCATTACTCCATCATTCTGCAGTCTCTTGACTGTTGGCCATCAGCAAAACAAGCATGCTGAGTAAGCAAAACCCCTGTTTACCCAGCCCAGCCATTTGCCCTCTTCTCTTCACAGCTAAACTACATGGCCCTTACAGGGAATGAAGTGAGGACAGTTATTTTGGCCTCACAGTTCTCTTTGTCAAAAGCTCTTATTTCTTGGGATGTATTTTTTCCTCACAACTCATTCCTATCTTCCTGAACAGAAGATATAATTATGTGTACTTCTGCTTGGTGACAGCTTGGGAGCCCTGAAAGTCCTGCAGTAAGGCTCATCCTTGAATTAATTTTAGCTGAGGAATATTTTCAGATATGCAGCTCAAAACGGGGTGGTGATTGTGGCACCAAATGGTCTTAAGTGACTTGAATGCCATAAAATATAATTTAAAACATTCTGAAAGAACTCTTACCAGCTATAAGTAAATAAGGAGTATTTGAATAAACAGCACAAAATGGAGTATGCAAATTGAGTTGAAACTAAACAGAAACCTGGAGAACATCTGAACTTTGTGCTGTCTCCATGCCATGGCAGTGTTATTGTGGTGCTCCTGAATTCACATTTCACAGCACCTTAAAAAGCTCAGTTGAAAGAAAAAGTAATTTCAAAATGTTTTTAAAGGGCAATTACTGTAACAAAGCATCACCGTGGTAAGGAAACAGTATTGTTTGTCCATACACTGGATTGACGATTTGTTTCCAGCCTACTTTTCCTGGTAGCAATCTAAGTGTTGAATTTCTATGAAACCATGATATAAATTTCGACCATGACAACCAATGTTTACCAAGGATCAGGACTGCTGGTTCCCCTCTTCTTTCCCACAGATGGAGTTGACATATTAATTTTATTACTAGAAGAATTTTCAAAAATTCAAACTAGCAATGTATTAGGATACAGTTTATGGCAAACTGTCAAATGCTTCCTTACATAATATGAAACAGAAATCTCTCCCAGAAAGAATACAAATTTCAAGCAAGAACATAATTAAAAAAAATTGTGGACAGGGACCAAATTCTATAGAGTAGATCTGTTTACGTTGAAATTTAATTGCAATACTGATTTGAAAACAACACAATTGGCTAATCCTTGCATCTAAATGACCAGATTCAATTTGCTGGCTGACCTATATTAGTTACACAAAAAAATAAAAACTACATGGTCTATTTCATGCTCTGGCAAGATTTGCTTTAATCTGAAAGAATTAACTTTTAAGCAAAAACTAGACACACAAGGTAACAGAATTAAAAATCTAAAACTTCAGAAAAATAATTATGAGGAGATGAAAGTATCATTGCACTGCTTTTTAGAACATGAACAGTATTTAAGAAACAGTGGAAAGCTGTGCAAAGCCTCACAATGTGTGTGTCTATGTGTGAATAGACACAGGATAAAGCACAAGAGCCCTTTCTAAAATTCAACAGTCAAGTGTAAAATAGTAGTAATACCTAAGCCTTTGTCATGAGATTAGTATCAGTTCACACAACTCTGGAGGAAAAAAATAATCTCCAAGGATAAGACTATCCTCTAAGCAATAAAAGTTGAGACATATTGTAAAAACCTCTTGATTTCTCTAACACCAATCAATATGATAACCTTGAAGGAAAAAGAATATTTCCTCTTTACCACTTAAAACTTAAAAACCCTGTTTTAGATACTTGCTTCTTAATACACTATTACACAGAAGGTCTTGGTATACAACATTTATTTATTTTTTCCATGAAACACTCAGTGGGAAATAGTTTTAATCAAAGAATTGTACATTTCTTCCCATACATCCTGCTCTGTATTAGGAAATGATATTGTGATCCATTTCACTACAAGTAAAATATTACAAAATATTTACAAGAAAATATTAAAAATAACTCAAACACAAGTCAAGATGAAATAAACTTTTTTCAGAAATCTCACTCTGGTGCCTACAGCACACAAGAAGAGAGTCAAACAAATAAGCAACTAAGATACCCTTGATCACAAATTTCCAAAGACCTGGAGAAGGGGAAAGAAGGGGACGAAAATGGCGGTGTCAGAGGGAATGGATTAGCAGCACTGCTTTAATAGCCAATCTCTTCTGAACGAAACTCCCTCTGTGCAGTAAATCCCCATCAATGCTAAACTTTAGGATTCCTTGAAATCAAATTAGAAAATACCCTGACAGTGGAAGTAGCTCTTTCAATGTAATTAGAGCCTCGTCAATATTGTGAAGCCTGTCTGGCATCAAAAGCTGTCACAGCAGCCCTTCCATCTCTTTCATGAAAGCTTCATACACATCATCCTTAGTTTGTACTGAGACGGGAACAGAAGGACCAGATTTGGGGGCTGCTTTGGCAAGAGGCACAGCAGAATCATCCTCTGACTTTCTTTGGGGAGCAGCGGTAGCCCCTTTATTCTCCCGACGTACCCTCAGTGCAGTAGGTACAAATCGAGTAATCTCTGCCTTGGGATTAGTGATCTGTGGCTTGGCACTGATGGTTGCTGTGGCTTTCTTCTCAATGGTGGCTGCACTTGTATCATCTGCCTTGGGTCGCTGAATCAAGTTGGGTGGGGCACTTAATACCCCAGGGTTGGGCAAGGGAGCTGGTGGGAAAAGCCCAGGTGGGGCAGGTCCAAGTGGAGGCACCAAAGGTGGGCGCATCATGCCAGGACGAGGTGGGGGAATACCTAAATGAAGAAACAAACAGTCAAGATGAACTAATAAAAATTTATTATTAAGGATATTTAAACATAGGTTGGAAAATTTTTAAACAGAAACCAATTTACAGAAATTAAGCCGAAGTCACACTACTTGTTATTTGCAAGTCAGGAATATATTCTGATAGTAAGGAATATTATATTATAAAACAAAAATCACTTTTAGTCTTCATCTCTGTACTTACATCTTTAAATACTGCTCTACATCAAAATATAAGTAAAATCAACTGGCTTCAAATACCACTTCAAATCTGATAATCCAAAATGCTACTCTTACTGTACATAGGTGCTTTACCACTTGAGCCACACCTCCAGCCCCTATTCTTACTGTAGAGTATAGGTGTTATTAAGGTCAACAAAGGGGGTTGGATCCTTATGCATTATTTCCTTATTTCCATACCACCCCCAGTGCAAAGAAGGTAACCCAGTGGGGAGGGAATACAGTTTTAACCCTGGTCATTAAATGAATATGGGATGAAAGAATGTAACTCATTAAAATCTGTCACCATTAAAACAATTCAGATACTACTGATGATTCAGACATACAGTAGTAATATAGCCATAACCTACAGATTTTAATGTTCTACCATACTGCATCATTTTTACTCAAAAAGAAAAAAAACCAAAACCCTCAAGAACAGACTCTCTAAGTGGTCTCTGGCTGGGTGCAGTCCCTCAAGTGACAAGCAGAAACAAATGCAACCACCCACTGGAATAACTCTGCCTCGATTCAGGCCAACAGCATTCAAAACCACCGATCAACAGTAAGATACCTCTTGATTTCAGAATACTGAAATGTAACAACATTTCACAAAGCCAATGAAAACAACTGGTGAAGTTCTTGTTATAGAAATCGAGAGCTTCACCTGGAGGTGCAGGAGGAGGTAGCCTTGGCGGGGGCCCCCGAGGAGGAGGGCCAGGAGGCAGACCTGGAGGTGGACCTGGGGGAGGGCCAGGAGGTCGGCCTGGTGGTGGCCCTGGGGGTAAAAGTCGTGGTAAAGGACCTCGGAGTCCTGGCATTCCAGGTGGTCTCAGGAATGGAGGAGCCCCTGAAAAAGAGAAAAATGATGAATTAACGTCAAAGAAATACACATGAAGTAATAGTTGTGGCAGAAAGGTAACTCACATTTAATTTTATTAGGTAACTTCAAAAACTCATTGAAATGAGTGGAAACAGTATTCATTCAACAAATATTCAAGCACCAGAAATAATAGATTTGTTATAGATCACTTCTCTATTTCCAAGCCCTGAGAAAAAGTACTCTCAACCATAGCTCTCTGGGCCTGGACATACACAAAGATGAGAAGATTTCTCATTATTACAGTTCCAGTATAAGCTGAAAATGGAATATAAAGCAGAAGACTCTAAGGAGCCCATGAAACTCATTCAGAGTTCTAGGAATGACAGACAAAGACCACTGAGAATTTCATAAAAAAGCGAATTTAGCTTTGTAGCAATCAGAAAATGATTAGTTTAATTGAAGACAACTTACTGGCTGACTGTGGGATGAAGGACTAAAATTATAAATAGCTCAGAGTGCTTCATGTTGTTTCAAACTACAAATAAGCTTTTAAACCAAACACTTGACAAGACTAATCCATCACCCTTCCCTTATTCTATGAAAAGAACTATAAATAAGCCTAATAAAGACTACATTGACAGCCAACAACTCCCAACCTAGGAAGAACGTGAGATGGTATCATTGTGCCCTAATCCTACTTGATACCAACATAGAACCGGGCCTCCCTGTCATTAAACATACTAAAGAAAGCACAATCATGTTCAAGTTTCTGCCTGCAATAATCAGAAATAAGAATCCTAAAAAAGAGCTTTGCATAAAAACAGTTGCCTGCCAGAAGAACTCTGATCTACAAACAATGCTTTCAGGATGAACAAGTTTCATTTATTCTTTGAGAATTCTTCATAACTAAGAGAATTCCATTAAAGGAACAAGAAAATATTAATACTAATGATGTCTGATTTCACTATAATCTCATTTATAGCAAATACTCAATAACATCATGTAAGTGCTTACCTGGAGGTGGCCCAGGAGGAAGGCCTGTAGGTGGCCCAGGAGGCCGTAAAGGTGGAGCAGGTGGTGGTCCAAGAGGTGGTGGTCCTGGCATGGGAGGTGCTTGTATCTGAGAAGGAGGAACAGATTGTGGGGGAGCCTGCTGCTGTGAAGAAGCAGTAGCTGTGTTGTCAGAATGAGAATCTTCTTTATGCTGTTTCTGTGACTGCTTTTCTGCCTCAGAGTCATCAGAATCATCTTCTTCATCATCTTCTGAAAATTCCTCCACTTCCCGGCCCTCCTCAGGGATTTCCTGACCTGAAAGACAATTTTAAAACCATAAACAGTTGATTCATTTTTTATAGCCTGGAGAACAGCAATGACTGAGGACACATTTAGTAAATGCATTCTTTTTTAATTTTTTTGGTGAGACTGGGGTTTGAACTCAGGACTTCGTGTTTGCAAAGCAAGCACTCTACCATACCTCCAGTCCAATTTGGAGATGGGGCATGTGTGTCTCTTGAACTATTTGCCCAGGCTGACCTTGAACCGTGATTTCCCCAATCTCAGCCTCCCAAATAGCTAGAATTATAGGCATGAGCCACTGTGCTTGGCATTCGTACACACATTCTTTAAATCAACAACGACATGATCTTTTTCAATAAAGTACTTAGATGTGGAAGAATCACATAATATTATTCTGCTCATCAATGTTACTATAGTATAGCTAACCCAGTGCTTTTTTTTTTCTTTTATTATTCATATGTGCACACAAGGCTTGGGTCATTTCTCCCTCCTGCCCCCATCCCTTCCCTTACCACCCACTCCGTCCCCTCCCTCTCCCCCCACCCCCTCAATACCCAGCAGAAACTATTTTGCCCTTATTTCTAATTTTGTTGTAGAGAG